GCGGCGAGCCTTCCATGGGCAATGAGCAAAGTGTCGTCAGCTGCGAATCCCCCCAATTCCCCATCACCCTGAACAAGTGAAGCAATCCACGACCGGCAAACTTTCACAAATGCCCAGCCAGGTCAGTTTTTATTGCCTTCCAAGAACAGGCTGGTCTCAGTGCGACGACAAAAACCCGCGGCGCAAAAAGGGGCCGCCTTCGTCTCCAAGGTGTACTCTGCATTGCAGGCCTCCCGCACGTTGGACCGCGGAGGCTCTGCGGTCATTAGCTCCTAGCGGAGCCCTCCCAAACGCGTGCGCGCTCGTCCACAGTGGTGTCTCCAAGTGAGGGGCTTCAATTGACTTCCTTCTGGATTTGTTTGAAAAGCATATCAAAAGGGGATTACATTTGCTTAAGTCTGTCACACTCATACTTTGGGGAACAGACTCTCTTAAAAGGAGTACCTTTTGTGGCGGTGATTCGTCTTTTGCTTTATCCAGTGAGACGTCCAACCCTTTTTTTGGCGGTTCAAAGTTGAACAGGCACCACGCACCGCAAAATTATGATATTGCAAAGAACATAGGCTCCTGGTCAAAAGGCAAACACTTTGGCCTCGTTGGCCCAGATTTGTTTGCCATCCTGTCTAAAAAGGGTCCAACATTGACAATTTACATCTAGGTGTATACTTCTTGAGAGGTAACACATGCAAGTGTTAAATGCCAAACAAAGCAGAATAGTTTGATCATTTGAACTTGCGCTGGTTGTAAACTGCATAAACCCCCTTCTGGAGCTGTGTTCACAGCCACACCCCCGAGGGCTGTCAGAACCATGAAAGGGGGATCTCCTTCCAGCCTCAGCGAATGGACAACTAGCTATTCGGGGAAAGTCCAATTCTTCATCTGCGGCTGACTCAACTTGGTTGGTGGTGAACAATACTGCGAGCCATTCTAAAGAGTAAATTGATTGCAAAGAACCATGAAGTACCACTGGTGACACCTGATTCTTATTCACCCGTTCTGCTCTATCGTGAAAGCCTTCCTTTCGCATGCATCGACACATTACTAAAGACGTCGAGAGCAATTCCAAGTAATCAAAGCACCACTGTAGCAATCCATGGTTTCGGGGAATATCATACAAAGACCCACATGACAAAGAACATCACGTTCAAAGCTACTGCAGATTAAGAGGGAAACCAATGAATATCCCTTTTGTAACCCTCTTTCTTGCTATGAATGCTTGCAAGACCTCTTGTCTAGGAAAAGGCACGTTCTACTGCACATGTTTGTATGTCCAGCCCTTTACATATTGGTCTTCCAGAGGTCTTGGCGCTCGAGAAGGTGAGGCCAGGTCCTGGGCCGCAGGCGCCGAGGAGGCTGAAATGCCTGCCGTGGCTTAAGCACAGAACCCTTAAGATCAGAATGAGCATGAAGAAAGCATGACTAGAAAGACAAATCCAGTAGTAAAGAACCCTGAACAGCAGGGGAAATAACAAATATTAGTAAGCAAACGGAAGTGTCTACTACCACTATGCCGACTATGCTTGATTGCTTTTTGCAGCGCACATCAAGGCGACTAGCAAACCCTCTTGTCAATTGCATTGTTTTGCGGGCTTTCGTCCCCCTGCAACTCAAAAAAAGAACAAACAACACCAGCATAGACCCCAGAGCGCAAAACATGCCGACGGTTGCGCTCCAGCACCTCCAACAACACACCCGGAAACAGCACTTGGCCGCGCCGTCACTAGCACCTCCAACAGCTCATTCAACAGCATCCCAAACTGCATGCCCTCTTGCACCCCGCCGTCAATCTCGCAAGAATGCACCCGCACCGGCACCCCCAAACAGCACCCCCAAAGCATCAATCTCGCGAAAACGCCGCACCGTTCATCCCAAAACACCACCTGCACCAGCATCCCAAACTGCATGCCCTCTTGCACCCCGCCGTCAATCTCGCAAGAATGCACCCGCACCGGCACCCCCAAACAGCACCCCCAAAGCATCACTCTCGCGAAAACGCCGCACCGTTCATCCCAAAACACAACCTGCACCAGCACCCCAAACTGCATGCCCACTTGCACCCTGCCGTCAATCTCGCAAAAATTCACCCACACCGGCACCGCACAGTCACCAGCACCTCAAACAGCACCCCAGACAGCATTGCAAAACACCACGTACCCCAAACTGCATGCCACCTTGCACCCTACCGTCAATCTTGCAAAAATGCGCCCGCACTGTCACCTGCATGCCTGCTAGCACCCAGCCGTCAATCTCACCAGCACCTCAAACAGCGCCCCAAACAGCACCTTCACCAGCACTCCAAACTGCACGCCCCCTAGCACCAGCCCAATCTCGCAAATCACTTCCCCTCTTTATCAGAAGTTAGAACCCCTATAGCTTTCAGCTATCTGGGAAAAAAGACCTGGGGGCAGCCCTTGTTTACGAGAGGTCCCACTGGCTTTGACCCGCGCAGAGTTCTTTTTCCTCGCCTAGGAAGGAGGCCACCCGCTTCCGGGCCGCTGCAATGATCTGAGGCTCCTGGCCAAAATGGCGGAACGATGTAAAGACTCCCAGACTGACGATCCGGATGGCAGGACTTCTTTGGACTTGGTCCAGAGCCCTGGCAGCTTCCATGTTCGGGCGTGAGCAGACTTCTGGAAATATGGCAGGCTTGGGCCGTGGATCCTAGCCATGGCAAGCGACTCCTAGCCTTTCACCGAGGAACCTGAAGAGCCCATGAAACCAAGTGCGCCGTCAAATGATCTGCCTTGAGTCAACGGACCTAGTCGGAAACCAGCGAGGATCCCATCAAGGCGCCCAATTCCCCGACGGAAAACGCAGGCTCCGGCTACCATGCTTGTGTGCAAGTATACAAATATCTGTGCAATTATGTATATATATATATACATCTATATATATATATGCGTCTCGGAGAAGAAACTGCTCTTGACTGTTGATCCATCCTCCCAGTACACTAATGTGGCTGCAGCGATGGCCACTGGTTCAGTCTATCTGGGCATGGGTCAAGTTGATGACGGGGGCCGGTTTGGCGTGGTCAGTTGTGGGAAATCTTCAGATCCGTCTGCCAGCCTTTGAATTACGCTCAGGAGCCTGAGCGTAGGAGAGAGGCTCGTTTGCCCGCACAAGATCATTCAGCCGCCAAAATCAATGATCAAGTCGACTGCTTGCAACCTTGCAAAAGCAACCATCCCCCCGCACCACAAAGTCTTTGCTAGAACGAGGCCCCCTCCAATCGGTAGATTCCCCTTAAAGGTCTCCAACGCACCCTCCGCCCCGCGCCCTGCGCCCTGCGCCGCCCGCACGCACGCGCGCCTCGCGGCAGCCCTGGCTCTTAAGCTCGTCGCGGGCGCTGCGAGCCAAGGCCTCGTTGAGGAGCAGCAGCAGAGGCACCTGCTCGAGCGGAAGCGAGACTTGGTCGGCTCTCAGCCGATGAGAAAATCGAATGACCCCTAGAAAAAACCAGCCCATGTGTGGATTCCTTCAGGGTCTCCCCAAAAACGGGTTCATTCCACAAACCCGGAAGGTCATTCCAAACCGAGCACCAGCAAGGAGAAACTAGCCTTCGACCCCGGCCGGGAAATCACAATCCGTAATCCGCTTAATCCTCGTTCTAGTTGGTAATCTGCTTAAACCCCTAATCCGCGCGGCGATTTGTGGGTTAAAATTAAACTCGCATGCTGGAGCATGGAAAAATCAGGTAACCCATAATCCGTAATCCGCAAAGCAGTAAACTGCGTAATCCGCAATCCGTTAATTTCGTTCAGGTCGACGGGACTTGCCAAGCGAGCAGAGTCACAGGAAAGGGGAGGCGGCTTTGATGGCGCACACCTGCCTGAATTTCATTCGAGCCGCGAGCAAGGAAGGCATCTTCTGCCCCGGCAAGAAACAGCATGACAATCCCAGTCGACGACAAAAGAGGATGTGGGCTGGTTGGTCGTCGGGCGTATTGCTTGGTCGAACCCCGGTCTTTGTGGTTGAGGTGGCAAAAAACGCGTGTTCCAACAAGCACGAAGGCAGACATCGATGCAAACTTCGGTGAGTATTCACTGACTCAGGGTGCACGGTCTCAGTTTCCTGCTCAGTGCAAGAGCATGTTACAGGGCTTGTGTGTTTTTTCCTACGCCTTTCAGGCTTGCATGCCTCCTGTTCAGGGTTTTAAGGCTTACCGCTCCACTTCCTTCAGCGTCCTCGACGTGCTTCAGCATCCTGCGCAACCACTGCTCGCAACCTCACCAAGGATGCCATCAAAAAAGAACTTAGTTAGGGCCTCGCTAAATCAATGAGCACTCATGGATGGACATCACAAACACAACATGCCAAAATCATTGACTGGGTGATAGTTGAACAACCGCTCTGCAAAAACGCAGGCAAATCCTGGCGCCAGGCCCCCGTTGCTGTAGGCTGGCGCAACACAAACGCACATGTCTGGCAAGTGAAAACCGGCCAGGAAGAAGAAGTGCTCAAGAATATGCTTGTATAACTGCCACTTATGATTGGCTTTCCGCAGGGGAGCTCAACATTGGTGATTTAGCACACAGCCCCTCCAGCGTGCCTTGCATGTCCCGCTTACACACGTGAGGTCCCTGTCGCCTTGAGTTGTTGGCTCACCAAAAATCTAAACTTTCTTGAAACCACTTAATTGCAGGTATTGGATTTCCCCGTAACTTGGTTACTTTCTGCCCCACTGTTAAAAGTTTAACTTTTAGTGGTTTTATGGAAACCCCAATAAATGGGCAGCAAGTTAGAGTCCTAACATCCCTTGGCAAAATGCACCAAAGGTAAGTTGAAGGGTCCCCTTTTTTCTGTAGTCTATTTTAGCAATTTTAGTAGGGGAACCCTCCCAACCAAAAAAGGGGAGAAGGGCACCTGGCTGGCGGACCTGTTGCCGTTGGGTTCCATTGGGATTCTGCGGCCAAGAGAGACTGCCTGGTCCAGCGCGGCTTCCGGGAGTTCATCCACTGCTGCCAGGGCCAGCAGCAACCTTGATCGAGGTTTTCTGAGCATCGACCGCGGGGGGCAACTGGCATCGCTCCCGCGAAATGAACCCAACGAGGGCGAGAAACTTATGCTTTTGTTGTTTGTTTTATTTTATTACTATTATTGTTATTATCATTATTATTGTTATTATATTACTATTATTGTATGATTATTTACGTATACCCATTTGATGAAGTTGTGGAGTTCTGAAAGTGCAAGATCACGAAAGGTGGTTTGGAAGACTGTAACATGGCGCTATCCACTTCCATGATCGTCAGAGGGCAGATACTGAACCAAACTGGAGGAAGGATGCATGAAACAAAGCCCAGTTTGGCAATGTGCACGTACTCCAAAGGGGGGTGCCCTAGGTTGTTGGACGCATGATATTGGGAATATTTTGTTCACGTGTACATTTACGTTAGCAAAACATGTTAATTCAGGTATTTCGCCATGCAGCCTGGTGTGCTGACTTGCAGGAATGCGGTCAAAAATTAGTGGGAAAAAAGAGTACGAGCAACTTGACATCCTGCTGGGTAAATATGCTCTCCTGTAGGTGCATTCATGTTTCACATTGCTGGTTCCCGCCACAACTAACAAACTCAGGCGTGCCCAGCCGCGCGACGTGTCCAGCAGAAGAAATTACCAATGATTCAACAACTATTTAGGAAGAAAGCGTTTCCAGTGAGGTCAGTTTGCCCTGAGCTTGACTTATTTCGTTGCGGTTGCAGGCAACGTTCTTTCCAGTATCACGGTTGTCATCTTGCAATCCTTGCACCAAGACAAACAACACATAACATACGTGCCAGTGCATATTGACTTACCTCTGACTACAGATCATGCCAGTCCAGCATTTGTTCCACGGATGGACAACTCTTGCGCAATGTTTTACCGACGTTGCTCGGAGGCACCATGCTTCTGCCGTTGCCAGTTACCAGGTGCACAACGTCCTTGTTGTAAGGAAGAACTGTTGACGCTCTTCCTCAATGATCCCGACCCGCTCTCCTCGATGTTTCTCATTTAGGAGAAAAGTGGCAGGACTGCCTGACGTTGCGATACTCAACACCATTCACTGTTGTTAAAGTCTATCATGGGGTATGAAACCTCCAATATGTTTTCCGTTCCGTTCAACTATATTTGCACGCGCACGGAATCACCCAACTGTAGACAAGCAGCCTCGAGAACACACGAGCTGTCCCCGAAGCATGAGGCAAAGGACATGTCCGTCGTGGCCATAACAGAAGCGGCGTTGACAAGTCACGGACGGGTGGCTACAAATCCCATTTTCCTGAACAGAGCGTACCCGACTTTGCATAAACATGATATGATTTACGCCGTACGCTAGAAACAGGTACTCCCTCACGCTGGCACAGCCGAGCCAGACCAAAAATGCCACGGCAAGTCCTTGCGGAAACTACTGTGTTGCCTCCCACACGCCGCAAATTCCCTGAGTTCGTATGAGCAAAGGAACTTTCCGTGAGATCAATCTGCGTTTCATTCCCTTGATTCATCCACAATTTTCACATCAGACCGAGCAGTCTCAGTTGGAGGGATTACTCGAAATAACATGAAATAACCAATGAAACCATTGCATAAAAGAAATGCGACGCTGTGAGAGAAAACAGCGGCTGTTCCGTGCAGAGCACCTGGTCTCCCCTTGACACGTGCAGCTCAGACGCTGCACGGGATGGTCCACGCCATCTGCGGCAGTCAGGCTCTCCTGATCCGCACTAAGGCACTGACAGCGCTGAAGGAAACTTATCATGAACATAGGCGTCCTTTTAGGGGAAATAGATGGCTCTGGTAGATGATTAAACCACGAGGTAAACCAGGGTCATCATTTTTCTAGCAAAACAACCAAAAAGGACACCTATGATGATCATGAAATTGAATGAAACCAAACAGTCTGAGGTCTGATGCCCTGTTGGTGATTGAATGATTGAGCGAACTCGTTACTTTACGGTAGCACACTGGTTGGGAGCCATGAACGAATGCACGGCTGGGGTCAGTTCTCCCAACTATTTCCAACCTTCCGCGGAAAAATGGACAGGTGGAAACAAGACAACAAAAGCAACAACAAAACCTGCTACAAGTTCAGTGTCGTCCCCGTGTCACCCGCTGGCACCACGCACAACGCATCATTTGGACGCAGGCCAGCATGCACACATAAAGAACAACAAATAACAAAGTAAAACAGTCAGCTATTCAATCTGGGCATGTTCACACACGCACGAGGATCATGGCATCAAAGAACATCTATTGAAACAACACAAAACAACTGGCAGGATGTTGAAACCATGACGTGCACCAAGCACAAAATAGCACAAGCAATTACTTAAAACGATATCCGCGGAGAAGGCGGTCCCACTTTGCCATCTTCTCGCAGAGCTTGTGAAGGTCGCTGTCCGCATCCGTCTTCCAGAGCTTTCGTGCGGAGTAGACAATGCGGAGGAAGACCTGCCGTTTCTTCCCAGGGGTGCACGTGGTCCTGGGAGCCCTAAGGCGGCAAATCAAATCCGACTGATTGAAATCCTGCTGAACATTTCAGGTGGCCATTCAGGGATATCCCAAAGTGCTTTGAGAAATGGCATCAAGATACCAGAAACCTCAGCAAGTGAAGCCCCCTCCCATATGAAGGCTGCGCAGAGAGCCCACCTGCTAATGCTCTACCTGGCATGTGTCACGCCTCACAGCTAATGCCAATGGCGCAGTACCGCTCTGTGTTTAGCACCTTTGCAACTATGGATACCAGTAAGTATGTCTGAGCATAGCTCCGAGAGTTGCGTGCCTCGATGCTTGTGGACCATCAAGGTACAGTGCACTGCGTGGATTCCCATTGATGAGGGCGCGCTCTCCCCCTCCCTAGCTTTCATGTGAGTATTTGTCAAAACTGGGGTGCCCCCAAAATGGATGTCAGGTTCCTTAAACCAACTCCAAATCAAATTCAATAAGGGGTCAAAGAAACGCAGACCCATGTACCTCGGTCACCGGTCGATTCGGCCTCTAGGGAGGCTGCGGTCGCAAATGCACCCAGGTCCCCCTCTTCGCCTAGGTGTGGTTGGTTGGTGCACCTCCAACTCAGTGATCAAGTGAACGGCACAAAGAACCAAAAGATGTTGGCCTAGAGGCTTTTACATTGCTGATTTGCACTGGGATATTGACCTCTAGGCTTTTACATTGCTAATTTGCACAGGGATCTTGGCCTCTAGCCTTTGGCATTGCTGATTTGCACTGGGATATTGACGTCCAGGCTTTTACATTGCTGATATGGACTGGGATGTTGGCCGCTAGCTTTTGGCATTGCTGATTTGCACAGGGATATTGACCTCTAGGCTTTTACATTGCTGATTTGCACTCGGATATTGACGTCTAGGCTTTTACGTTGCTGATAAGGACTGGGATATTGGCCTCTAGAATTTGGCATTGCTGATTTGCACGGGGATATTTACCTCTAGGCCCTAGGCCTTTACATTGCTGAGTTGCCCCTATATATGGACCTCTAGGCTTTTAGCTTGCAGATTTGCACTCAGATATTGATCTCTAGGTTTTTACAGTGCCGATTTACCCTGGGATGTTGACCACCGGACTTTGCATTGCCGGTTAACTAAGCCTTCGTCTTCAAGCAAAGCAGCTCCTACGAGTATGCCTACCGGATCCTTAGGTGACTGCCAATATCGCCAACAAAGTATGCTGAAACTCCAAATAAGATCCACGGCCCAATCCTTCAAGCAGATCGTTGTTCGAAACAATTAGAGGACCAAAAGGGACATGTGCACGACAACTCGGTAACATACTTCAACTTGCAAAACAAACACAAAGCAAAGCTTATGCTCAAAAAAACCAGGCTGCACCGGGGCTTCGTATGACACAGAACCAAGGGTGCAAAGCCGCAGAGCTGCTTTTGACAGATTTGAATGCTCAATGGGCAAGTCCCCACGCAAGGCTTACTCAAAGAAGATACATTTGTTTCGGCGGGTACAGAGAGTAGCCACCCGGACTCAGGCTCAACATCCAAAGTTTCAGCCTTTCTACAATTCACGAGCCCGCGATACAAATCTAGGAAGCGTTGCTGCTTCGGCAGCCCCAAATTGCAAAGGCTTTCCGAAAAGGAAAAAACAAAAGGCGAAACATGCTCATTCCTCCAGTGAAGATTATACACCTGAAAGCACCAAGGTCTCCAGGTATACCAGCGAGTCACACCAAAACAAAGCATTGATAATCCCTGCATTGATGCCAAGCCTTGCAATGAAGAGCCATCGCTCCCACAGGGATCACTGTTCAGAGTCGGCACAGACTTCTAGTCACAGGATGAAGTTCCACTTTGGATTACTTTGCAAGTAGAGAACCAATGGTTACGATGCAGTCTTTCTTCCCAAAAAGCAAAAACACGCGGTGAACAAAATCCCGTAACAAATTCCTGTGTGTGTTGGCACTCATTTGTCTACCGCATTCCACGGTTTTTGGTGCAGTGGATTACTTGTCCAGAACCCATCTGTCTAGAACCCATCTTGTCTTTCGTCTAGAACTTTGGCGCAGTAACAACATGTCCAGAGTTTTTTGGCGCTCATTTGTCTAGGCCCGATTTGGCCATGGGTCAAAATCCCGTACCCCCAGGGAACATCCCAATCCCCACTAAAATCGACTAAAATGGGTGGTGCGCCTACCCCAAAAAATGGTACCATTGGTTTTGACCCACAGCCAGTTTGGCTCCGGATCCCTCCCGGCCAGCGAGTCACGGTTTCCCAGCGCGGCAGGGGGCACGGTGCCATCCCAGGAGTCCCAGTCCTGACGCGAATGCAGAGGGTGCAAATCGGAATTCGTGGGATTAGATTGGAATGACTTTTCATGGGCGCGTTCAGGTGGACATTCTTTTTGTTGTTTTCGTGTGATCACGAACTGCTTCTGAGCTCCTCGTGAGTTGACATTCATAATAATAGTTGGTCTTTCTTGACGCGTCAGGGTCTCTAGCTAGTGTTGATAGACGAATCCCAAGCCAACCTTTCCATGGAGGCCTCGGGAATATTTGGGCCTGGCTTGCCAATGCAGATAAAGCCAAATCCCAAACCAACCTATGCCTTTGGAACGGACTATTTCTAGCAATATTGGAATCTGTCTACGATGACACGACCCGGGACTCTGTTGAGTTCAAATCGCAGCAGGGAGAAGCAACTGGGAGAGCACTGGGCTTTTGCTCTCAATCAGCAATCAGACTGAGCCCAATGAAGAACAAACCAGTTGAGCAAGGAGCCGTTCGCCGGGAAGGAATTCAGAAGAAACTTGTGGTGCACCTTGTCGGACTTTTTTGTGGGCCAATGGATTTTATGTGGTTGAGGCAAGTGGGGTGCCTTGCAGGACTTGCAGGCTGCAACGCTTTCAAGTCGGTTGAGTCAACCTGTTTCAACAACTTTGCGGTCATGGCTCCTCTATAAGACAACGCGTTGGCGTGTTGCATACCTTCCGAATAGCGAGCCAGCCATAGTCAATCATGATGTTCGCGCACCTTGCACATACACAAACGCACACAAGCAAGCAAGCAAGCAAGCAAGCAAGCAAGCAAGCAAGCAAGCAAACAAGCAAGCAAGCAAGCAAGCAAGCAAGCAAGCAAGCAAGCAAGCAAGCAAGCAAGCAACCAAGCTAAGCAGACAAACAGACAAACAGACAAACAGACAAACATACAAACAGACAAACACATGTATATTACACGTATCAACATGCGTGACCATCTACACACCTGCCATGTCCTTTCCCTCCCACTCCTGGATGTCCGGCGAGAACCATTGGCAGCTGGGGCAGGAGTTGTTGACTCGCGCGCCATCGTCGTCCTCTCCATGATGTTCCTGGCCCAGGCTTGAGAATATTGGGGGGGGCCATGCTCCGTGACCAAGCCACAGAAATGATTCACCCCTTATTGCTGGCTAGTTGCAAAGATAAACCCAACAATACAACACAACAAAAAACGAGTGCAGTTTTGAAATTGGGTACTGTTGACAAGGACAAGCAGCCCTGAACCAAAATTAAGCTATTGGCTTCCCCTTTGGGAAATTAGCTATGGGTTGCTGAGTAGCAAGTACTAGGCCAGCTTGTTGCAGTACACTGCTGCGGTTCCGGGGGTGGGGTCAAAAAATCAAACCAAGAACCAGCTGATTTAGGAACGAATCCCCTGAGCGGATGGCTTTTGGATGTAGCCTTTCAGGAATCTGGTATCCCGGACAGGCCAAATAAATTAATCAAGAAGCCTCTTCCACCCAGGTCCCTGAATGTCCGTGATACATTGGTACACAGCACAGTTGCTCTCAAGCAGTGAATGGGAATGAGCAGCACAATCTGTGCGGCAATCGTGTGTGCAAGAATTACCTCCTGTAGCTGCTAGTGAAGGGTCTTCTCCGGGGATCCCTGATTTGAGGTTGGATTTTTTCCAGTTTGCCCAGATATGTTGGGGTCTGAGAAACTTCCAAGGTGCCGGGAAGCTTGAATCCGTTGCACGGAGGAGTTTAGTTTTTCCGGGCTGGACGTAGCCTGCACAGCCGACACCCAATAGCTCCGCAACATGCGACTGTGATGCCCATGATGTCAAGTTTGTCACTCCGTGCCAAGCAACAAGAGAGGTTCCTTTGATTCAAGTTCGATGGTTCCTCTTGGCAGAAAGAACTGGTAGAGCGTTTCATATCATGACATGTTGCAATTCACGTTCTGCCTGTGCCTCCAGAAAAGGCCTCCAAGGAAGTTTTGCAACAGCCTGGGTCATCTCCTTATAGCCCTTCAACTGCCTTCAATTGACAAAAGTGGCAATCTGATATTGACCGCGGACCATCAAGCCCTGAGTGGCTGAAAGCTGAATTCCTTCTATCACAAATACGTTCTGTGCGTCCCACCTCCAGGTCCCCGCAGTTGTAGTGGTCGATGGGCCCATAGCCGCAGCTGGGGCATTGGTAGGCGCGGCCTAGGAACTGGCGACGCAGCTGCTGCTCCAAGTCGTCCTTCCTGGCAGAAAAAAAAAACACACAAAAAAAAAAATGCGAATGGCTGTCATTGGTGCTCAGGGAATGATAAACGGAATGACCCCGAGAACAGTCATCCCTTGCGTCCTTTAATAGGGAATCCTTGGGTTCATTCCCACTTTCACATTTCCCTGCTGAGCACCTGCATATTTGTTTTACTTATGTCTATGTTATGAGTATCTGTACATTCATTGTGTGACTTGTGTGAGTGCGTGTGCGTTTGAGTGTGTGCATGTGTGCACCGACCCAGAACCGAGAGTTCCGTGCCTCCAAGTGTGTCATTGTGCTTGTGCACATTGTGTGTTCTTGAAAAAAAAGCCTCTGTGTCCGTGGCCTGAGCGCGGGTCTGCGGGCATGCGCGCGTGCTGACTGGCGGGCAAACTGGTGTGCGGGCAGTGGTGCGCGTGTGTGTGTGTGTGTGTGTTTATTTGTTTGTGTTTGTGTGTTTGGGTGTGTGTGTGTGTGTGTGTCTGTGTTTGTGTTTGTGTGTTTGTGTGTGTGTGTCTGTGTGTTTGTTTGTGTTTGTTTGTGTGTGTTTGTGTCTGTGTCTGTGTCTGTGTCTGTGTCTGTGTCTGTGTCTGTGTCTGTGCGGTTGCTTGTGTGTGTGTGTGTGTTCGCTTGTTTGTTTGTTTGTTTGCATGCTCGATCGTTTGTTTGTTTGTGTGGTTGGTTGATTGATTTGTTGGTTGGTTGATTGATTTGTTGGTTGGTTGATTGATTTGTTTGTTGTGTTGTGTTTAGCTTAGTTTTCCTGATTGTCCTTCATCTAGTCACTAATTCGCGCTTTTTAATCCATTCATTTCTGTCTTTATTTCAAACCTTACTTCCTGTGTGTCATTATTTATGTATGTTTCTTTGTTTCTGTCCTTGTTTGTTTGTTTGCTTGTGTGTGGTCGTTTGTTGGTTTGCGTGTTCGTGTGTTTGAGTGTGTGTTTGTGTGTTTGTGTGTGCTTGCTTGCTCTAATTGTGTTAACTATTTGTTAGTTAGTGTGTTTGTTTGCGTGATTGATTGACTCTTTGTTTGGTGGCATGTATGTAGGTAGAGGTAGGTAGATAGGAATCTACGTATGCATGCATATATAATATGTATGTGTGTGTGTGTGTGTTTGTTTTGATTGTTTGTTAGTGTGTGAGTGTGATTGTATGTGTGTATGTGTGTATGTGTGCTTGCTTGCTTGCTTGCTTGCTTGCTTGCTTGCTTGCTTGCTTGCTTGCTTGCTTGCTTGCTTGCTTGCTTGCTTGCTTGCTTGCTTGCTTGCTTGCTTGCTTGCTTGCTTGCTTGCTTGCTTGCTTGCTTGCTTGCTTGCTTGCTTGCTTGCTTGCTTGCTTGCTTGCTTGCTTGCTTGCTTGCTTGCTTGCTTGCTTGCTTGCTTGCTTGCTTGCTTGCTTGCTTGCTTGCTTGCTTGTGTTTGGTTGGTTGGTTGGTTGTTTGTTTTCGTTTAATTGTTTGCGTATGTGTGTGTGTGTATGTGTGGTTGTCTGATAGTCCGTGTGTTTCATGTGTTTCCATGTGTTTGTCTTCTTTGTTTGCTTGCTGATTTGTTTGTTTGTGTTTGTTTGCTCGCTTGCTTGCTTGCTTGCTTCCTTACTTGCTTGTGTGTGTGCGTGTGCGTATGCGTGTGCGTGTGTGCATGAGCGTGCGCGTGCGCGCGCGCGTGCGTGATTGTTTGTGCGCATGTTCTTGCTTGTGATTGTCTGTGTCTGTGCTTGTGCGTCTTTGTTGTCTGCTTGTGTTGTTGGTGCTTGAACGATCTAAGGCAGCTGAACAACAGGGCACCCCACTTTGGTTGAAATTCAGAGGAACAAAACATGGGATGGCTGGGAACCACCAATGATTGCAAAACAAACCACTAAACCCTAAAAATCTAAGAAGCTAAGGAACCGGATGGCTGGGCGCCAAGCACTTTGCTGTCAAGCTGCGTCCGCGCTCGAGGAGGCTGGGCTGTGGCCAGAAGAGCGTGGGCGTGCAAGGCCAGGCGCATGGAGTTGCCTGACCCGGATCATCCAGGCATTGCTTCAAATGGAACAAGCCTGATATGAGGCTCAACCCGCTGATGGCACGGCAATTTTTGAGACAAGCAAACGGAAGCCAACCAGCTGAGGGGACCGAAACGAAAGTTTGAGAATCCCCCAGTGAGCCAAGCGTAGAACCTCACAGCAAAACGCAAGGACCAATTACCACGTTCGGGACAAACTCCCACGATGCTACGCTTGCAACAAGTGCCCCAAACAACACACAACTCAGTAACTCGTCATCAAACAACGACAGTCACGATCTCGAATGAGACTTGAAGAAGGGCCTCTCAGGACTGCGAGGGCCCAAAGGTTCCTGGAGCTTGGGGGGACCCACCTCGCAAACAGGGACACCTTTGCTTGAGGAGCCCTTCTTGAAAACAACTTTGAGCTGGAGCCCTCTCTCTCTCCCGCCAATCTCTCGCCCCTCTCTCACGCGCTCTGCCTCTCTCTCTCACTTGCTATTTTTCTCTGTCTCTCTCTCTCTCTCTTCTCGATCTGTCTTCGTGGTTCCTTGATTCCTGGGCTTCCCCCCCAAATGGCAGCATTTATTGCAAGTCCGAATGTTCTTTCCACCCGCCGGCTTTGCCGGCGGCTCATGTTTGGGCTTGTGTGTTTTGCCCAGGTGGATATTGACGGCTACTTGATTCGCGTAAAAAAAAGAACGGCAACCGGTCCCCAAGCCTCCTCATCGTTCAACAAAGCTCTGGATGGATTATAATATTTCACCAACCTGCAATGAGATGGTTGGGGGGGGTACTCCCCACATAAACCACCATTTGGGGTGAGGTCGTGTGAGGTCCTTATAATGCACCCAGAAAGCTGGACGAGGCAGAGCTGTTCTTTTGCAAAAAAATGCTTAAGAACAAGCGGAATGGGAATAAACATCTAAGACGTTATGTTATTCTTACAGGCCTCAATGCATAGTTCCCAAACCAGCCGGAACAAAACGGTGGTTCAACAAACTGCCTTTTAACCACCAATTTGACGCATTTGAGGGGTTGTCTGGGTTGTGCCGGGGCTTCCCTTTCGAGTTTGGATAAACCAGCAAATGAAAGTTTCGGTCTGGGGTCCTTTAAAGAAACCCAGAACCAACTCACCCGAAATCAAGTCACCCGAAATCAAGCCAAGCGCCTGTGAACATATGCAGATCCCGGCTAAGCACCACAGAGGTATAGGTCTCCCGAAGCAGCAGGCTGTTCACCGCCAGCTTGCTCGCCTATCCAAGTCTTCGCTCGCGATTCGGGGAGACTTGTTGAACCATTTCAGTTTGTCGCCTGGGGATGGGTCCACAATTCAGAGACACCCATGTAAGAGAAGTCCCTTTGATCGAATAATAAGAGGTCCCCTAATGATATAACATAGTGTCTCAATATCCCAGCGTCGCCGATACCCAATTTGGAATAGGCTAGTTCTATCCCAGTACTAAGCTAGCTAGCAATTTTTCCCCCAAGCTCTCCTCCAGTCCTACCTACACGTGGCCGGACTACACAGAAGTGAAAAACGCACACAGGGAACTCGGCAGCTCAAATCCGGACCAGGGCAGGTTGTTTTAAGAAAAGATAGGGAGGGGAACGCCTGTTCTTGCTGGGGAAAAGGGATTTCCCGAAAAATATTGCCACCAGAAACCGATAACCCACCCTGTCCGTTCCTCATTCACCTTGAGAGAAAAGCCGGACGGGGGGAGGGGGGGCTCAAAGATGTTCAGGCCATTTTCGGAGGCCACAGGGTTGCCCCTAAGTTGAGCAATCGGGACGCCACATTTGAAGGTGAGCGGAAATTGAGGGCGCCCTGTATGTCAGAAAAGAATTGTATACCCGCACGTGAGGGGTCAAAAGGCAAACCTGCTGGGAGGCGAGCAACAGTGCCGGTGGGCCAATCGTCGGCGAACGTGAGACCCGTTGTTTCGTGTGAGGAAAATGCAGAAACACAAATTTCCTTGGAAGTTGAAAACCCTGGCTTTGTTCCTTGAACATGATTTCATTGAAGGTTGCCCTGCTTTGGGACCCGCGGGGGCCTGATTGTAGTCAACAAACAACTGTAAACATAGATAAACCTGTCCTTGAACGCACAGATGGTACAACCCACCCAAACACACTCCAAATGTTGTTTTTTGTGTTCCTCCAGCGTGGTTGTTCCACGGGAAGTATGTTCGGAAGGTGCAAAGTCTGAGTCAGCCCCTGTTATCATGGCCGAAATCAAACAACCAAACATTGAATGGCCAGCAGAACGGTTCACTCTGCCGGCTTGTCCAAGAACAGAAACTGCCTAGCTTGTCCAGAGAGCAAGTCATGAAGCACTTCGAACATCTAAACCGACCAATAACAATCCTCGAAGATGCTTAGCTCAACTCTGAGAGTTCACTTGCTACGTGCGGAAATTCACACACAGGCAAGCCGAACAGCGGAATGGCGGGATGATGAATGGGCAAAGCGGGAATTCATGAGAAGCCCTCCGTGGTCAAAATCACTGCACGTTTGTTCTACCATGGTCTTTCAATCAACTATAACATGCCCTGTAGAACTTTCTACACTGATAGACCAAACGACCCCAACAATGGGCCCTGGCAATCGCGTTTACCCGCTGCCACTGAAGCAAACAAGTGGTCAAATTCATATCATTCCCCATCCAATGCAACGTGGCGAGCCTTGCGCAATGTTATCAATGGACATTCAATGCTCACGAGCAACATACGATACCTGCAATCGCAGTGTCTGGGCCAAGCTACGCCCGAGGCAGTATTATGCCTGCGTTTGGAAAGAAAATGAATGTTAGTCCTGATCACTGTCCCTTTGAGCATCAACAAAGGCCCCAATCATAGAGCCCCCTCGTTGTGTTGTAATCGACCAGCCTTCGGAGCGTCCGGGTCTACGAGAACCAGCACATCCTGGTGCTTCCGCATTGCCGGGTCTAGCGGTGGCTTGATGTTCGGTATTTCACCGTCGGTCAATGACACATACGCAGGTTGACCACACGCATCCAAGCCAAGGTATTGTATCCGAACCACAACATGAGCCCTGGCTGCACGTGTCTGGCCCAGAAGCCGGCACTTTGCATTGCCTTACAAAAAAGTGTGTGCCATCACAATTCATAACGCAAACTCTGGAAAGCAACGGGTGCAGCAGTGTCTTGAAATCAAAGACATCACATGGTGAGTTTTGTGAAGTATATATATATATATTATGTGATACCACTAAGCACCGATATAGCCCCCCGCAGGGCCTACCTTTCCACTTCAAAATGTGCAAAATCCTCTTATTTTAAAGACAGGAGGTGTGAGCACATATACGCAAGTTTTCTGCTGTTGTCTCATATTTTGTGTTGGGCCGAAAAGTTTATAAACTTTCAGGAAATGTTTATAAACTATGTCAAGGGTGTGTCGGTTTCCCTGCAACTGCAACAGGCAACACCTGGCAGCCGGGGGAGGTTGAGAAGCCTGGGACAGGGGAGGGAGGGAGGGAGGGGGGGGGGTGAGAAATCTTTCACAAAGTTTGGTTGAGTCAAACCTCACTGCCGAGACTTCCAGCCACCCCCGCCTACCCTCCCCTCCCCCAAGACTTCCAACCCCAATCTGAGCAATTTCAGCATTTTGTTGGACCTAATCCCTTGACACTTCCATTTGGAACACCTAAAAGAAAAGATCTGGGGATCAGAATCCTCGAAATGTCTAATGTTGGATTCTCCAAGCCTCATAATTTGTAGCTGGGAGTCCTCCAACATGTCCAAATATAGATTCCTTTCCAAATACTGCGAATCTAATTGGGATGTTGAAGGGAAAAAATGTTGTTTGGGGAAAAACAATCTTCGGTCCAAGGGAACGCAGTCTGAGCAATTTCTGCAAAACACTTCGTTTGACAGCATTTTGTTGGATCCAATCCCTTGAAATGTCCATTTTGAAACACCTGTAACCTGGAATCTGGAGATCAGAATCCTCGAACTGTCTAATGTTTGATTCTCCAAGCCTCACAACTTGGAGCCAGCACTCCTCCAAGAAGTCCAAACATACATTCCTTTCCAAAAAAGGTTTTGCTCCGATTTGAGATTGAATATTGAATAGAATTTAGTAAGGACATAGTTCACCACAATTCATAATTCACCATAACTTCTATATTTAATCAGGATTTGAGAAGAGGAATACCTAAATAAGAGACAAATCATATCAGTAAAGTTTAAATAGACATTAATGCAAACAGAATTCAATTGGCTTTTGAACATAACAAATTATTTAAGAATCCCTTCCCAAATATGACTTAAATTGGAATAGAGCTTTTCTGGAAAGAAATCACTTGGCCTTTGCAAACTAATTTTAATAGCAACTCATTCCCAAATTTGATTTAGATTAAATGTGGCGAAGCAAATAATGGGCAAACATCCCAGACTCCCAAAATAGGTATGGACATTTGTTTGGTGTGCAGGTCTCAGAGCTTTCATTTTCAGGAGATGTTGTGCTTTTGGGTCTGTGCAGGTTGCAGAGCTCAAAGCCGCAAAAAACATCATGTTTTCAATGTTTTGCCTGGTGTACCCAAAACCACTGTAACAACCAGTGTTTTCAATCAAAGCCAGACTCGAACCTGAAAACGGATTCCGTTTTCGCTTTGTTGCCTTTCAAGCGTAAACAAAGCAAGCAGTTGCTGTCACATGGAAGGTAAACCACCAACAACAAACACTGTATTTTACAGTGTTTTCAGGCATCTGCAAGAACGAGGCACACGGAGTAGACTTGACACCTTCACCTAGAAGAGAGGAAAGGTAGGCCCTGGAAAAAGGTGACCATAAATATACTAATATATGTATATATATATATATAGATTATGTCATGATACCACTGGCAAGTACCGATGTGCTAAGTACATCAATCCTTTTCATAATAAATTAACGTTACTAGAATTGCTTGTGTACACGTGTGTGATGGTGTGGGGAACAGATTGCATTCGTTCAATGGCAGGAATAAATCTGGACGTCTGTCACAAGCCCTTACGCACGAGCCAATATATTTCTTCATCGGTTAACTGCTGCTTGAGAACCTCATCAATCACTGAGCAACACACAAACTCAGCAAGCTCAAAGTCATCTCGCCACTCGCCGCAAAGACAATTTGAGCCACTCACTCGGGGTCACAGAAGTTAGGTTCCTGGAAGGGTTAAGGCCAGTTAGGCCATTAAGTTAAGGGAATCCCTCTAGATCAGGCATCCAAGTGGCCAGAATTCCCTTCAGGAAATTGGAGTTCCAGGTAGTTGGATTCCACACAGCCTGAAGGCAGGTATCTCTCGCTCAAATGGGGCCATCTGTTGCCTGAACCATCTTGATATTGTTGTAGTTTACACCTGGGTGTTCATTTTCATTCCGGTTAAGTTATTTAACAGGTGGGTGAGAAGCTTCCACGCCCGGGCGGTTTTCAGTATGCCAAGCCAAAAATGTGGCAATCCGAAAGGCTCCTCGATGGCCGCGCCCCCCTCCACGGGCACCACCGGCTGCTCACTGTGCTGCGCCGTGCAGACCGAGGCCGTGTCCACCGCGCTGGGGCGCAGGCCTCGGGCGGCAGCTCGGGGGGCCTATGGTCAACTGGGTCCTCCAGATTTGAGACGTTGGGAGAAGGCTACCCGAACTTTTTTCCTTTTTTTGTTATTTTAGTAGGGGAACCCTCCCAACCAAAAAAGGGGAGAGAAGGGCACTACTGGGGGACCTTGTCAATCCATTGCTAGCATTCGGGTCTGCTGGACTAACAAGCCTCGCTGTTGACAGCAAGTCAAATGATTGGGTGATTGTCCCAAACAAACGTCGGCTTCTAGGCTCGGTGTTCCGCGAAGTTGGCTCCGAGCCATCACGGTGTTCATTTGCCAAGGAGGAATCCATATTTAGGTGATTGCTGATTGAAAGAATTAGCGGAATCTCATTCCGCGCCTCTAATTTCTCTTAAAGCGATTTTGGCCCAGCAAGGCCCTGCCATTCGGAAAGTCTCGGGAGGGTTAGACAGCGGGATTATTTTGCATTACTCAGCGTTTGGTGCAAGGAAAGGGCTGAGTTGAGCGACAAGAATGTTCTCCAAGGGTGCGGCTTCGTTGCAAGTTCCAGTTTATGTCTTTTGTAGAACTTCATATCTGGGAGATTGACATACCATGACCCACGTCCAGAGAGGTCCCAACTGATTGGGGAGGTAAATGGTAGTATCTACCTATTGGATCTGCCAGTCCATTAATTGAAAAAGAAACTCACGGCGGTGACCTTCAATCCCAGCCTTTCTAACTAGAGACCTTAGCAACAAGAGATACATTGGAGCTCTTTGAATAAGCGATCGTCACCTCACGTCGCTTGGATTCTCTCGCCCGATTCGATCCTCCGGAAGCTTGACGCCGAGCGGCGCGTGACGTCCATGGCGTAGGGATTCATCTGCGTGGCATCGCGGCGCTTCACGTCGATGGGGTAGCCTGCAGAAGCTGCCCTTGGAGTCGCGGACTGGAGCCCCAGGGGGTCCTTTGGAGGCATGCGGCTGTTTGTATCGTTGAGTCACTCAGCTTAAGTACCATATATCGCAACATATCACAACATGGCACCTGCAAGAAACTCATTCAGAACAGCATGCATTTGGCTCAGTTGTCGCCAGCTGCCCTTCATTGCAGTCACTTCTGGATCATGCCTTCCACCGTACGCCACGAACATGCAAAACTGCCATCACATCACTACTCACTTCTTGCGTGTTTGCCTTATCACGCATCTCGGACAAGCCATACTGATCCCTTTGGCTTCAAGATTTAAGGTGGAGTTGATCCAAAAGCAGCAACACAGCGACAACATGTCCTGACAAGATCATTGCCAGCAACAGGGTTTTGAGTTGAAGCACGCCCTTTGAATTTAGCCTTAGCTAAATTTGCCGCGGGAGGGCTCTCATGAGCCCAGCGGAATGTTACGAAACCCCAGAACCCGATGGACAGGTGATACATGTGTGAGATGGCAGCACCAGCCGCATGGCTTGGCCTGAAAACGACGCAGCAAAGCTTCGTTGCAGACCGAACACCAAGCGCAGGCCGCAACAATATTATCCGCAAGGATGCGAAGCCGAGGTGGTCAAATGGCTTCTTGCAAAGCCCTCGAGGTTGCGAAAGTATGGGAGAACATGAGGGCGGGATCTTCGGCTTTCTGATGATCGCTTGGGTTCGGAGGACAACCCACCGACCATAGTACCCATATTATGCAGATTGCACTGCCAACACATACCCATATGTTTGAAAGCAGCGCCACCATCCTGTGCATGACAACAAATGATCGACCCCTTGTGCAAGAAACTTGCAGGGTGGCCAAACCAGAAACGCCAGAACTGATCCACGACAACGGCCACCTTACGTCATCATGGCCACTTGGGGGCATAGAGAGCACGGAAGCACGGAAGCTTGCGCCTACGGTGCCCAGGCACATCAGAAGCCTCAGTGGAAAGCTGAGGTATCCAAAGTAATGTACAGCTTGATCACGAATTGGGAGGATTATTTTTTGAATGAAAGCACTGTGAATGAAAGCTGTCTCTTCAGCTTGCAGTGGGAAAATACAAGAATAATCATATAAAGTCAAGACCAAAACATCGCCTCTGGAATGCATGGTTCAAGTGCTAGCTTCAAAGTCAAGTGGCTGCATCAAGCCTCACTGATTGCGCGTTGAACGCGCGGTGCATAGATACCGCCTTCAATATCTTAGCACATGAACTTGAGGAAAACAACATAGACCACAAAATGAAAGTCTTCAGGCTTGCCCAAACCAGATCTTGTTACAAAGATCTTGTTACAAAGCTTATACCAACGTGAAAATAGCACTTCCATCCTGTACACTCATCATTCAAGAGTCAGTGCACCCCACAAGTCATGCACATTGGCTGTGAAGACAAACTCTACCAACATGTCTCCAACTGCGAGGAGAAAAGTGGTATCTTTCGTCCCAGGCACTCATACTCCGTGTCGCAACTGTCCAGGCCATTGAAGTCTACCCACTCGTGCAACTGCTCCATGGCAGTTTGCAGGGACACATAGGACCGCCTGGCACCAGGCAAATCCCAGTTCCAGCCCCTCCAGTTGCCACTATAGCTCGCTTGCTTTCTGCTCCCCTGTTAAAAGTGAATAAATTTTAGTGACCCAATAGATGGCAAACAAATAGAGTCCTAACATCCAAGCAAAATGCAACAAAGGTAGGTAACCAGGGGCAACAATCATGTAAAGACTAGAGGTACTAATCACTATAGTGGTCATTGGAAGCGCCTGAGAATGCCTTCTTGGTCATGTCCTTTCCGGCTGAATCGTTGATTTCTTTGCGCTTTTCGGGTAGGTGCTAGGGCTGCAACAAGTCACCCGAAGCGCGAAGGGATGTGTAAACAACAGGCGCCCTTCTCATGCCTCAGGATGTCAGAAGAAGCTTGGCAGCATGGATCGTTTGCAAATGGAAGTGCATGACGCCAAGGCAGCGAACTCCCAAAACCCGCTTTTGAAACTCCACTTGGCAACGCCAAGCAACAAAACACCCATGAGACATATGCTTTGCTCCAAGTTGCCCGCGGTCAGTCTCTGAACCGAAGGAATCAGGTGAGGCCTAGGGGGAGGTGGCCTACAACCTCCCAAGTGGCCGGAAGGCTCAACTCGTCACCCGGTTGGGTACGTTTCGAGGGCGCTGCACCGCTTTTGGAGTCGTTGAGGGACCCTCACCAACATGGCACCTGACAGATCCCCACAAAAGGGAAATGATCTTCCGGCGCCCTCCAAGAAGCGTTGTGTTAGTGGAAGGGAGGGTCGCTATTTTGGCACCTTGAAGGCACAGCCCATTTTTCCCGCCTGCAGTTGGCAGTCACCTTCTGGAGCACTGGGCCCTCCAAGAACTCTGCCAGCGACTCATCGACCTCTGCCGGAAGCTCGCCTCAATCAGCAGAACGCGTCGATGCGGCTTTTGTGGATTCACCCTTGTAGGGTATTCAGGAAGTACGAGAAGAGTAGTTAAAAAGGGATCAACAGGGAGAATAATAATTACAGTAGGTGAAATGAACGAAATGCGCATTTAAACCGATTTCTAGAAGATTGGCCAGCTTCGGCTGATTGCAATCAACTTGGTCATATTGTTTGAGGAGCTACTATCATGTTGTCTCCCTTTCTTGTCCACAACTGCAAAGTGTCGGTGATCAAACACAAGCCACATGATATTAGCCTGGAAGCCAAAGGCGAGATGCGAGATGCCAGACACATGTTGCCGGTTGTTTGTCTTTGTCTCAGTGGCCTTGGAAAAGGAGGTCTGCCAGGCGAGGCAAATGTTGCAATGCGAGGCAAAACTGAGACTCACTGACTCGCGAAACTGGGTGAACTGGAGGCCATGCGTAAACTCAGGTCCGGCTGGCCTTTGCATACGTCCATGAAGCGCTTGCTCTCCCTCTCGAAACACCAAGGCAAAACCACCCCCTCCTGACTATGCTTACTTGATCAGAGCAGGGTTGAAACAAATCAGTACTTAGTGGCTACACATTCAGCACACCTCAAAATCAGGGCTCCGGGATGGTCTTAAACAGAGCGCCCGGAGGAAATCCATTCTTTTGGACGCCCTTGTCAAATCGACTGGTTGAGCTTTGCCAAAGCGCCAGCGCAAATCTTCCGCATGACCTCCTCGGGAACTGCACCTCGGCGAGTCTTAGCGAGGCCAATGACACCAAAGGGCTCAGGGGTGGTAGCACAGTGTGCAACCTGGAATCAGAAGAGTGGAGCACGGCAAGCCTAATTCCCATGCTGAGGCTAGCATGTTATGTTCCTTCCTCATCACTCATCACTTCCTACTATACGAACAGACTCTCCATGTTGAAGAGCATGTGCTTTCTTGAGGGCGCAGCCAACAACATGGCAATACCCATCACCTGCCTTTTTAGGCCCAACCACGGTGAAGTGATGGACAAACAACATGCACAAGTTACACCCACTTGGGCTGTGCCACCGACCGCTAACAATGCATGCGGAAATTCAGTCCTTCCGCCACCACAACAGAGCGTCGTCCAAACAGGTCCGTGAATTATTGGGGACCACTGGCATGACTCATGATTACTGCTTACAAATGGAGCGACCTCCCCCCTGTTCATGTTATTGCTGGTGTCAGGACTGTCTCGCTGAGCATTCGCATTTTGTTGGGCGAACCAAGAAAGCATGCCATTCCACTTAGGATTTATCACTGTTGATATGGTGCGATGATTGCACGTTTGCTGATGAAGAAGCAGTTCAGCAATATTCTGAACAGCTTGGGCTTAGCCTCTAACCAAAACAAAGACTCCCACGCTACAGCTCTTGGTCCAACTTGCAACGTCTTGGAAGTGCTAAGCCGTTGTCTGAAGTGAACCACCTGCTTCCCAAACAGCCGACGCCGTCACTCCACGGCTGAAAAAAGAGCCCGTTCAATGAGCCAATGATGGTGCTTGCCCCTGAAACGAGCGTTGACGACATGCTAAAGCAAAATATGCAGCAGATTGTAATCCATCAACTCCAATGCTGGCATGCCGGCCATTGGCAAACATCAGGTGGAACTGGGGAGCATCAAATAACCCGCTTGAATACTCACGGAACTCGGCTTAACCGCTGCCCCAATTTGGGGCTTCTTGTATATATGCCATCTCTGAGCCTGCCGCTTTGACCATTCAGGCGTAATGGTGTCTTTTGCTGGGCCGGCGTGCCGTGCAGCTTAAGGCTCACAGCTGATGAAACTTCAAGAACATCTAACCAAAAGTGGTCAAAACAACCATACATCATTCACCAGCAAGCCAACACCAACATGTCTCACTTCCCTGTGCGGTACACAGTATCCAACCGACCATAGCCAGGCCCAAACAAATCAACCAAAACCTGATATCTAGCAGACCTGGCGGTTCCATCCACGAATTGACCTTGGTCTCTCTGACCAAGGCGGCGGCCAGTTGGTAGTGCCCGTTGCAGCGCCTTCAAGCGAACGGCAAAGGCGCAGTTGCTTTTGCTTCAACACAAACTCAAATGAGTTGAAACCAAACATGACAAGTCTGGCCGTTTGCTTGAAGTTGAGGGATTACTAACATTGTTTCATACGTTTGAAGGCTAGCTGCCTGGTCAAATGATGTATTCATCTGCTCCAACAGGCATGCAGCATGTTTTCGGTCAGTGTTGCTTTGTAAACACTGCAAAATGAACATTGGCAAAATGTGCTACTTCTATTGCTAGATAAGATGATTTGTCTTCTGGCAATTCATAATGCACCCACGTACATACGCCAAAGCATCGGCTTTCCAAGGTCAGGCAGACTACGACAAATGCGTCCGCGTTCACACGGCAAGCCACAATACTCCGTCTTCACCGGACATAAACCATGGCCATAGCTTCGGTGGCTGACACCTGAAGAAAAAATACAGCCGCCAGCCCTAAGTCACTTCCCTGTGGTGGGACGAGGCGTGCCTCATCGCAGCAGAGCTTGCTGCACAAGTCTTCCAGCAGGGCGCGGCGCATGCGAGGCTGCAGCTGCTTTGCCTCGCTTGCAAAAAGCCCCCCATCCGATGCGTGGAGAATGACCCGCGCCGTTCACCTCTTACCTCGGACAGCTAAAGCTGGAACGAAGAAAACCAAGCAACAGATTCAACAGATCACAAGGATAAACCAAAAAGCCGATGATGCTCTAGGGGAAACCATGGACACCCAAAGCTCAACGGGTCAACTCCGGGCAACTGAGTGGTTGCTTCCCGCACAAGGGATCCTGCAAAAGTGGGATCGGTGCCATTTTCTCCCCTCAAGTGTGTGTGTTTTTGTTTTCCCATTTGAGGGTTATCTTTGCGGCTCAAAAACATGTACCAAAGTGGCACCCTTGGCAACTGGAACCAAAGACTAAAACCTGCGTAACCCTAGCTGTTTAATTTTGAGCCAAAACCATTTGAGCCACCCCCATTTGAGCACACCGAACCGTTGCCTGCCTCAGCGATGAGCTCCCGTCGGCGCTGCTCAGGGTTCACCTCGTTGTCGTTGGCACGGCGCAGGGCCTGGAGGGCGTGGCGGGTTCACCGTTCCCAAGCAACAACAAATGGCTAACTTTTACTGGGGAACCCCCTCAAAGTGGCGGAGACGAATTCCCATGTAAATGATGTCCACCAAAGGGTCTATTGAAACTCATGCCCAAATAGAGCCTCTGCTGGTGCAAGATGGCTCCGCTGGCATTGCTTGTGAGCTATTTGTCTTAGCAACAAATCCGGCTGAGGACACGTTTCAAACAATTCACCTATTCTAAGGCTCGGTTCGAGATATGTGCAACAAATGCTCTAATTCCACGAACACCAAGCCACCAACTCAACAAAATTGCAGGCACTCCAGGCTCCATACATGTTACTGGGATCATATATGTTACTGGGATCTACGATCATAATATGACATCTCATCGGGAATCGTGATGGTTGCTTCATCAAGGCGCTGAAATAGACACCAAAGCCAAAAAATAAAGCGTTGCCAAAAGGACTGCGGCGGATTTGTTCGGGTCTTCCAGCTAAAAAGTACACTTGCAAGCCGCAAGACCTGCCTTGGCTCCATACTTCCGGCTGGCGCCAGTGAGGAAAGCTGCCTCAAGGCCAACATCAGCAATGGGTTGCTGAGGTCTGCTGTCAACGCCAGAACAATAGCAATAAACGTGATAAGTCAGGTTTGCGCTAGGACAAAACACAAACGAAGAAACCAACAAGCAAGCACGCAAGCAAGCAAGCAAGCAAGCAAGAAAGCAAGCAAGCAAGCAAGCAAGCGAGCGAGCAAGCAAATAAGCAGAAGCAAACAAACACAAGCAAACAAACACAGGCAAACAAACAAACACAAACAAACAAACAAACAAACAAACAAACAAACAAACAAACAAACACAAACACACAAACAAACAAACAAACAAACAAACAAGCAAGCAAGCAACCAATCAAACAATCAAACAAAATCGACAAACCAACCAAACAAACAAACGAACGAACAAACAAACAAACAAACAAACAAACAAACAAACAACAGCAAGACCCAAGCCTCCGTCAGCTCCTGAGAAACCAGAAATACAATTCTGAACAAACAAGCTTCACCAACGATCCTCGCAAGCAATGGCCATACACCTCACCACCTGTAGGAACTATGCCTGAATCCAAGTTGTCACACCTCAGCGGACACGCCCAGCCTGGCTGGCGGAGTCGTTGGCAGCATAAGCGTCCAGCTCTGCCAGCTGATTGCCTACGGCGCTCCGCCAGCAACCGGATTCACTCAGAGAAGCGGGCGATAGTAACCCTGAGGTTTCCTCACTGGTACGTGAACATGGGAAACCCCACCTGGTGCCGGATCCGAGAATGAAGCATATGAGGTTTCCGGCAGGCACAGCGAGTCGTGTGAGGTCTCAAGTTGCAGCTTGCATCTCATTCCATTGAACTACTTCAACTTGCATTGCTGATGCCAATCAACACTTCCGAGGATGCGCTTGCATGCCGGGCACGTTCTAGTCTTTCTTCACTTGTTCAATATTCCGTCAGTACAGTCCTGCTGGTTTCTGCAATTGTTCGCGCTTCAGTTGTGGCAACTTGTCTTAGTACATCAAAGCATAACAACACCCAAACATTTCACTCCACCAATCACAAATATTGACTGCAGACAATCTGCCAGATGGTATGAAGCCAGCAACTTTGCATCCGACACATGCTCCTGCATGTACGCATCAAAGTCTTTCTTATAGTTGAAGTCACACTAAGCTTCCAAATACTATGGCCGCACCGGTCTAGGAGATGACAATACAGACAAGCACCCAAACGCAAACACAAACACACACACACACACACACACGGCGTCACATACCCATACCGACACACACACACACACACCACAACGCATACACAGCAACACACACACACACACACACGCAGACACACACACACACACACAAACACAAGGCACTGAAATACACACAAACACACGCACACACACACAAACACCACCCGCACACCCAACAATATACCTACACGCATGAACACCATTTAATGTCCAAATAAACGTGCGTGCACAACACACGCACGCAAGCAAGCACGCACTCGTGCGCACGCATGCAGGCCCGCACGCACACAGGCAGGCACGCACACCAGCACATTTGCACCGAACTGAGGGCCAAGTCAAACTGCCACTGCGTTGAATCAACATGTACAGCCTTCATTCCTCCACCAGTCCGCGCCAATCAGAATTACGAAAATACAGCCGACAAAATACAGCTCACACAAACTTGCTTACTCCGTCTACAGTTGCGTGTTGCTCCCTCAAAAGCCTGGCAAAAACAAACAATATTTGGTTGTTGGTGCTTTGGCTGCCTCATCATGAACATCAATGTCACATCCATTATATGTATCAACATATATGCTGTATGCTGTATGCAACGCCACAACCATTTACTGTACAGCACAAAGCACTGCAAAAGGACCCCCTCAGTCAACCAGCAACATAGTATATTGTTTATACATAATATGGCTTTCTGGGACTCTTCTTGCAGTCAGGCACCCTGAGTTAGTACTAGGTGGCTCTCCAAAAGTCTGTCCATTCTAGTTGCAATTCACACGCAACAGCGAGCTCACAGATATTGCTTTGTTTCAGCTTGATTGCGCGCTGCACTGCAGAATTATAATTGCAATAATGTGAAATCGGGTTCACATCGCAAATGGGTGCGTGAGTGCCTCTTGTGCTCCTGAGTTTCGGATCAGCTTGCCCGGAATATCTGCTCACGGAAGACTCTCATGCGGCCAAAGGAACACAAAACCAAAGAACACCTTGCGGTGCTATGCTCTAAAACGGTTAAAGCTTGGTAAACAAAGAGGTCAAAAGGTCGACTTTGGAGAAGCGAGGACTATATTGGGGCAGGGGATTCACAAGTAGCGGTCAGTTTCACAGTGCTAAATAGACTCATGTGTCCTTTGGTGCAAGTGTGTGGAAGTGTTGCATACAGTACGAGTTAGCATCACAAGATAGACAAGCAAACTCAACAGCAGAAGCAGCGGCAACAACAAGGAATTAGGCCGCAGTTGCCTCTTGTCAACACCCCCCCCAACAGAACAAGTTGCACTGTTGTTCGAAGACACGGCGCATTCGAATCGTTTTTGACCAATCACAAGCAGCATCACCAGTAGATAAGTTCATGTTTAAAAGGACACCCTCAACTGGCCCTCAACAGCGAAGTCCTGCAATACATGAACTTGCACAATCATCCACAGCCCTCAATAACCATCATGACACACAAAGGGTGGCTCTAAACACCCCATCGGCACAAATTGGTAGAACAAATGGTTCAAGGGCACTGAAGAACCGAACTTTCTACCCAGACAGGATTTGGTCATCTTTTAGGAATAGCAAAAAAAGCAACCCTGTCAAACATCGCCTTCAAAACGAGACATACATCCAAACTTGATGATTTCCGATTCAAACGCCCAAAATATTGGGAACAAGTACCTTCGAGAAAAAGGGGGCCCTTTTCTGGGTTGATTTGAAGTGATCCAACATTTGGGCAACACTGCGCGGGGAAAGACTTCAGGTTCCCACCAAAACCCCACCAAATCCCTTCCCACCCTCCCACTCCCCCCCCCCCCCACTCCCACTCCCCCCCCCCCCACTGCTTTGGATCCACCCCTCCCCATCCGCGCCCGCGAGCCAGGTGGCGCAAGGCTCGGAACCCGTGCGCCGCCGCCACCAGCGACCGGTGCTGCGCCAAGCGCTCCTTGGCACTGGCCTGCCATCGCCCCGATCTCAACCTGTCCTCCACTTGCGTTGCATTCGACTCATTTCGGCAGCTCGGGTTGCAGCCCAAATACTGTCCTTCACTGAACCAGTTGCCATCAAATCGACTTCTCAGATCACCAAAAGGACTACACGGGTCCCGGACTCACTCGACCCGGACTCACCCGGACCGCACCTTCGCCAGGTTCAGCTTCTCAGGCGCGGCGGCCTTCTCCAGCACCCGGATCCAAGCGCCCAGCTGCTTCACTGCCGGGCCTGGGGCCCCCCGGCCCGGAACGCAGCTGGAGCAAGCTGAGGTTCAGCGGCTTTTGCACTGCAGCCCATGTGTTCTTTGAAGTTCGGTAGGCTGAAAAGCTGCGTGATTCAAAATTGTAACTCCTGACTCCTGAGGTCTGGAAGTCAAAACATGGGCCATCTGAGGTTTGAGGCTCCATCTTACCTGGTTCAAGGTCGAGCATGGCATGGCGTCGTCAAATCTGCAATATGCCCAGAATTTTGGTTTGACGGGGTGGGTGCTGGAAGGCAAAGCAAGAAGTGTTCGACCGGACGGTCGGGTTAAGATATCACAGGGCAGTATAGATTGCAAACAACAAACACCGATTTCGTGCAACCGAATCGAAGTAAATGCAACATGCATCAGGTTCATGCCAGTAATCCCGTACCACGGCGGCTTCCTGAACGGACTTGACCTCGAGACTGCCACAACAGATGTTTCCCTGGCTTTAGCCATGAAATCCTGCATCTGAATACGACCTTGTTGACCTTTCCAACCACTAGGCAAAACCATCGAAGAAGCAAAACATGCAACCACCTGCCAGGATTAATTAGCCCTGCGCCAGGGCTAGGCAACAAAACAACACCCTTTCCAAATCCATCGAACCAACAACACATGCAGCAACCGCCGCAGCAAACCAGTGCCCTCCTTGCCCCCTCCAGCCCTTTGCCGAAGTCGCGGACACTTTCGGCGCCACTGGCGATACGCCGGATACGGGCGGCAGCCAGCTGATCATCCAAAGCCTTGGTGATAAGGCTGGCGTTGAACGGCTCCACCTGGCGAAGCCATAGTGTCAAATAAGAACCATTAAACCGTGGTGAGGGGCAATTGTCGGTTCTGGAGAAGGTGAGATTTGCCTGCTGGTGTGGTGAATCCGAAGTTACGCGGGAGAAACACCAATACATCCTGTTTTCGGCTTAACCTCTCCACCAACATGACGTCCGGGTGATGCAAGGGAAAAACGGGGGGGAGAAACAAACACACACACACACACACCAAAAAAAACGGCTAGCGTGACTTTAGTGTGGAGGCCACTCCCAGGTCGGGGCCCCCGGGGCACCATCTGACGACTATTTCACAGTCTTGGTCTAGTGTAGCCCACATGTTCGTTAGACGCCAAGACTTGCGCGTGCAAACCAACCTCAAAAGAAAGGCGCCAGCCACATGTTCCTCACGGCCGGACGCGGCCCGCCATGCATGTTGATCAAGCCCTGAGAAACGGCTATCCGTCCTCATCACCACAAGTATCTCGAGATTCTAGCAAGCCTTCTAATACATGAAAGGCCATCCACACTGTAGGAAGCTGCGGTTTTGCCGTGCTTCCAGTTGTTTTGCTGCCCGGGTCGATTCCTAAACGCCAGCCAAACAACCAACGTACCCTGCGGAATTCGAGTATCCTGTCGGACGCGCCTCGACCTCGTAGAGCTTGCCATCCACAGTGATGTTCGGAACAGCTCCCTGGCACAAAAGCACCTGTCCAGCGAGCGGATGCGATGGCTGCCGGTACATGCCGGTACAGTGTTGCCCGGGGTATGTTATACGACTATGGTCCTCTACATATATATATATATAGTTGGTCATCTATATATGTTCGCAGTCCCAGGAAATCCGGAATCCCACAGGGTCCCCTCGGCACTTCTGGCATTGCCACAAAAGCCAGCCCGGTACCAGCTCCAGACTAACAAACTATTCACCAACCCTCGTCCAACCCTTAACCAACCCCCCAGAACCACTCCACAGGGGGGCGGGGTACCCTAACCATGAGCGAGGGGGAGGAACCTGGAATCTGGAACATGTTTACAGTGACATATATATATATATATCATTCAAATTATTTATGCTTCACGTTCCCAGTGGGCTTGCTGGTGGTAGTTGCCATGGATGGCGGTTGTAAACTTTTGGCCTAGCTCGACTCAGCAGGCTTTGTGTGTCACGTCGTATGTTGATTTTGCTAAACAATGAGAAGTGAGAATGAAGTGATGTCACTATTGAAGAGTGTCGTGTACCCCTTGCTTGCAACATTGAGTGGTTACCCGTTCGGCTTGAGGTAGCGATGAACAAAATTCAGGTGCCGCCCAGCGAGTAGCTTTTGCCATGCTTGGGGATGTAACTCACCTGCTGATTGCGTCACGCGCAAAGGCATTCTTGAGCGGTAAACAACACAGTCGGTGGGCCGAAAACATAAAACAGAAATGAGGGTACCTTTCTGGCGGAGTAGCTGATCTGAAAAATAGTCCGACCGATAAGCAATCAGGTGGCTGGTCAGAACCCACCCTTCAAAGTTTGCAACAGCGTGGAACTAACGGAGGAACTACCTGCCTAGGTTCCAGCAGTATTGAAGACCGGCATAAGCAACCAAGCTTCCCAGCCCCATCCTGCTTGGCGAACTTCTAACCTTCGGATCGACATCCAACCAGGCTGGAGAGCAAAGCAAGGTTCCCCGATCGGACATGGGTGGTGCCTCTCTCCAGGCGTTCGCTCTGCTCAATCAATGGCCAGGAGCCACGGGAACAGCAGAAGCGAAAGCCCACTCCAAACCGAGGCTACATGACGAGCCCGCCTAAACCATAACCCTGAACCAACTAAGCCCCCAAACAATGGCTGAAGGGAAGCTTCACTGAAAGCAGTCCGCCTGCTCCCGCTCGTTGGCCAGCACCTGCGTCGTCTTCTCTCCATCCTGAAGCTAGCCAAGGAGGGGGAGCCTCAAATGCTCAGCTTGTTTGCGGCTTCCTCTTGGAAGCCACCAGGTAGGGCCTCAGAATGGTCGGCTGCTGATGGCCATAGCCTGCTATGTGTTTAAGGCTGTGGACACATGCCAATGATAAGCCCTCCCGTCCAACTGAGCCCGTGCACCACTCCACATGACACGACACCGGTGAAGTACTGCAGGTTGATTTCGGCGTTTGGCAAGTGTGCGAAAGGTAAGATGTAAGACCAACAACGGCTGGAGTTTTAAGTTTTCTGGCCACTCGGGTTTTGGGCATGCGCACTTCAACCAAGCAGTGGTGGAGTCATGTCAAAACAGTGAACAACTGGCACCTGTTGTTGGCACATGCCGGTGAAAGTGCTACGCGTGCCAGCCACAGCAGCGAGGCTGTAAAGAGGTGTGTGGCCTTGTTTATTGGGAAGCAACCATGTCAACGTGTGTCCAGCCCCACAGACTTTGAAGCCCTCGCGCCTAAGAAACTTGGGAGCCTTGGGTTTCCCGAATTTCCGCATGTCCACGTTTGCTGGCAAAGTGAATGCGTATTTATAGTACATCCCTTAGCTTCTGAGTTCCATTTTCAGGTCTGAGTTTTCAGAGACGAATAAGCAATGCCTGCGCGATGGTCCGACAGAAGTGGTCGGGTGCCAGGATATTCGGGGTGCTCTTTTGTTGGATTCCAGCGGAACCCCCCAACTGAATTCCGACTCAAGCGCGCGCGTTTTCCCACTTGCCGGTCCTGCCCTGCCCGAATGAAGCAGCCCTCACTGAGACTCACCTGAGACAAGCTGAGGCTCCCAAGGGCTGGGGAAGATCGATTGAAGCGGCCTGACCATGTTCCCTTTTGAAGGGAACTGCGGCTGTTAAAGCAACAGTGGCCTCAGCTTTTTTAACCAAGTCATTGGGCCATGCCCCAAGCCCAATTTTGGCGGCTAGGAAGAAGCCTCAGCCAAGAAACATGAATACGAGGGATCTCTCAAAACAAGTCTGAGCCTTTGAGCCTGCATGAGGGACCCCGCTGGTTTCGACTCAGAAATCTAGCGGCTCGAACCCCACCTTTTGCGGATTACCCCCGCGTGTTCACTCCCTTAGGAATTCTTACAAATGATTCTTGCCGTTCAGACAGGGATGTCAGTCTAGAAAAGCATAATCAAGCCAGTGGCTCATGTCGCAAGGACTCAGCTTGTGAGATGCATCGGATATTTGCCGTCGACGTGGATCCGCCAAGGTGACGATGGAGATCAAACAGGGGGCTTCAAACATCCCTGCTCAAGTCTAAACTGTTTAACTTCTGCGAACAGCTTGCGAGAGGAAGACGGCACACAAGAACTGGACTTACACAACGAGAAGGGGTCTATGAATCATCTTCCTATGTCTTCTTTGGACTTGGTCAGCCTTCAAAAGCTCCGAGCAACCCGGTAGCGACACCCAAGTGGCAGTCACCATTGCACCCTGCAGGGAGGTAAGGCCCACGTGCATCTGCTCCAGGGTCGTTGTCATCTGTTGAGGCCTCACCCGGCTGTGGGAAATGCCCACTGTGATACAAGAAAAGGGTCCCCCAAGACTACCCCGCAAAATCTAAAAGGGGATTCCAACTTGTATCACAGTGGAGATAAACCCCTTGATCACACAACCCTGCTCTATCATCGACTGTACATGCTGAAAGGGCGTTCTCCGGGAAGGCACATATGGCGGTTGTACTGGGAAAATACGCAAAGGAAACACAATATCTTCCTGTAGATGTTGCGGCCCACGTATCGCCGCTTCGTTTTCTGCGACTGCAATTGGGCCTTCAAAAGGGCCAACAAAATAAATCAATATATCTCTGCATGTGAATTTGTTTACCCATCCACCTCTATGTCTCGATCTGTCAATCTATCCATTTATGTATCTTTCTGTAACGTGGATATACACATGTATGATATATGCGGGTTCTGCTTGCCCGTGTTTGCGTGTATGTTTGTGCGTTGTGTGGTGTGTGCTGGTGTGTGCTTGTGTGTTGCTTTTGTCGTGCTCTCTCTCTCTCTGTCTTTCTGTGTTCGCTTGGGTGTGTGTGTGTGTGTGTGTCTGTGTAGGTCTCTCTGCCCCTCCCTATCCGTCTCTGCCAGTCTCTGCGTGTCTCTGTATTGCTTGTTTGGTTGGTTGTTTGCTTGCTGTTTGTCTCTTTTGTGTGCTTGCCTGTGTGTTTATTGTTTCAATCCTTTTTGCTTGCTTGCTTGCTGGCTGGCTGGCTGGCTTGCTTGCTGGCTTGACTGTCGGTTTGCTTGTTTGTTTGTTTGTTTGTTTGTTTGTTTGTTTGTTTGTTTGCTTCTTTTCGGTGTTCTTTCTGAGTTTATTAATCTGTCGTGTACCGTCTTTCTTTATTCCTTGTTTTCTGTATTTCTTTCTTTATTTTCTGTTATTTGTCTTTCTTCCTTTGCTTGTGTTTCTGTTTTATAAGCACGTGTATGAACTTCCCTGCTATCCTCCGTGTCATATGCGTCTTGTTGAATACAAATCCAATCCCACATCTCCCACATGGGAGCGCACATCTGTCTCGGAGCCATGCAGGTTGAGAGTAACGCATCAGCCAAAGCCGAACTGTTTTAACATGGTCAACGCGTTACACTCTTTTGCTTAGGCTACAACGCGCAAAGCACGGCGTGCCATATGTTCCAGAGCCGAGCAAGTAGTTGTCAAGTAGAAACAAGTCTGGAGAGAAGAAAACACATACTTCTCGTGATTTTAACCTGACGTGTCAGAGAAGAATAGTGTTCAGTCAAGCACAGCATACATATAGCAAACATTCCCAAAGTTTAGAACAGCACCAACACATCCAAAGCTGAGGCACGAGGAATCTTAAATGAAGAATGTCGGTTCAAGGAGCGAGTCGGCAAAGTAGATGGGCTGCAGGTCGGGCAAAGGCGCTGTCTCTAAGGTCTCCTTCAGGAGCATGCCCAACGAGGTGTCAGAACCTGATCCCGTTTGGAGCAAGACCACCAACATTTCCCTACGCTTGTCCAAAACAGCCAACAGTGGTTTGGGTTTGGCATAAAATTAGGGTGAGTAAGAATTTGTGGAATCACGTTGAGCAGTTCATCTTTGCTGGGCTGTATCGATGATGGTCTTGCATACGTCTGTTCCGGTAGGCATAGCTGACAGGAAGCTCCTTTTAAGCATGACACCCTGTGTCCCTCAAATGCTGGGTCTGGGACGAGATATGCTGTTGACATATACAAACGCTCCACCCCTGTGCAATGGTCAATATGTGTTTCATCAAAGTGAGGACCCCTGCAAGAATCGACAAGGATGCTAGAAAGAAAACGCCACACATCATGGAACATGTGCGTTCACTTCGCCCTTGCTGAATCAAGGCCGTTTCCTAAGTCAAGTGGTGAACAAATGCATACGCTTCCAGCTGCAATTGCCTGCTTCCTACGCAGTGCCTGACCCTCCTAAGCCCAATGGGCGTACCAATGTGAGCACCGGCGGGTGCGCGGTCTACGAAAAACGAAACAATTGCATCGAAGAGTAGTGGACTGGAACAGGCTTTGCGAACCGCCAACTCGGAACACTTGAGGTAAGCAGGTGCCAAGTCGTGGCGAAGCCATGCAAGGGTCACTGTAACATGCGCGAGACATGTGCGGTGTACAATACCAAATTCACCAGAAACAGGCGCCAGCCAATCAACATATATCAGGAATGCTTAAATACACAGGATCTAGATAGAATGAATCAGCTGTTTGGCATCGAGCCACTCACATTGACGTATGCATTTCAACTCACATGCGTCCCCCAAAATCTGTCAAGATATAGAAGCTTCTTCGGCTTGTTCCGCGTTTGTGAGGTTGTCAGAACATTCCCGTCTCCAAGTAACTTGGTCGCAGATTGCCATTGAGAACCCTTGTGATCGAGCGAAGAGCATGGGATGCCATCGGGAGGTGAAGGGCATGTGATCAACCGGGAGCAATTCCTACAGTATCTGGGACGCCATGTTCAAGTGGCTGTGGGTCAAAATCCAAATCGTACCCCCAGTGAACATCCAAATCGTGCACCTACCCCAAAATGGGATCCCATTGGTTTTGACCCACAGCCAAGTCCCAACGCGCCAGGCCAAGCCACTGCGGGTGACGCCCACCACGACCACCGACAAACGCAGCCTTGGAATGCAATTGTGGGTGCCGCATGCAGAAAAGGGGGTCTAAGACTGGATTCCACTGGATCCAACATTTTTTGGCACCCTCCCAACTGAAAACTTGCCTGCTACATTCATCAGTGTGATGGTTGAGGTGATTCAAGCTGGAATCCACTTAGACTTGTTGTTGGGTTCCCCCTTATTTAAGAGGGGTTGTTCCCAAGACTGTCGCAGCAAGGCAGGAAAGTGGTCATAGCCGATGGAATGAAAAAGGAAACAAATGATAGCTTTGTCCAATCCTGTTCAAACATAGGAGTAGACAAACTTGAACACAAGAAGAGCCGATGCGAAGGGGCTCCGGGCAGCCAGCTTGCCGGTGCTTTGAAGTCAAACAGCTTGCCAAATTGAAATACATGGTACTTGGCAACACGATTGATCCTCGGTGTTACTCCATCAACAACCTGTGTGATGTCCCGCAGTCCCATCCACAAAGGAAACCTTGCTACACCCCGGCCAGCATATGCAAACCAGCAAATCCAGCCTGCCGCCAGCAGGCAAACAGCACATAGTATGCAATCAGTAGAATCCCCGCGACAAGATCATCCCTCACATGATGCAGCTCCCTGTTCGATGGAAGCTAGGCCCGCTGGACAAGAGGCCTGAGAACAAAGTCACTCGCGCTCGCTTGGCTCACTCTGGTGAAGCATGAACCTCTCAACCCAATAGTGAAAGTGCTTGTGGAAAGCGAGCAAGCTTGCATGCATGTGCGCTGCGCCATGTCCCAATACTGCCAATGGAGATCCTCATAGTAGTCATCAATATTGAAAACTGAAGGATGGACGATAGTCCCTGTGAACCCTAAGATCCCCTGGGTTTCAAGGAAAAGGCATGTGGGGGTCGACTTCGTGTTCGATAGGCCGAGCTGGTTTGTTGAATCAAAGCTAGTCTCTTCTGCGCTTCAGGCGGAAATTTAGGCGGCCTAAATCCAATCGGAGATCCTCCCTCTACATGTTTTCTATAGAGTCAGGATGATGCTGGCAGTTTGACCACAGCGCGTATAAGTTTGTCTCCAAATGCATAAACCCTCGAACTAACTCATGTTGAGACAAGGTCAGCCAAATTTACAGCCTGCAAAATGCAGCCTGCAAAATTGTGAGAGAGGCATAGGCTGGCAACTGTTTGTGGTTGGTTGTGTTTGTTTAAGCATTTCTGCAATACACACTGTCATTTCAAGTAGCGTACTGTACCACTTTGCAACAAGTACGCGATCGGGGCATCGAGCAAGCTTACCCCCCCCCCACGACAGTTTTAAACATGCGATTCACCACGGTTGCAACAAACCACCAGTGCACACGATGGATTGTTCCATGGCTAGGCTGCTCTTTGCTGTTCCCTTCAGCTTCTGAAACCCCCAGTGGCCACGGGGGTAAAAAAAGAGAACCTTCTTTGCGGTGCTTGATTTTGAAGCGAACCCCTCACCTCCCAAAAGTGAAGAACCGGGATTGAATTATTAGACCAAAGGGGACTCCCCTCCAAAAGAAAGAGGGAACCAAAGGCCACCGAAGGGAACCGGTTCCCTCCACTGAACAGGGAAAAAGGCTCCATTCGAAGGAAGAGGAAATCAAAAAAATCACTTCCGAAGGAGGTTGGACTTGTTTGCCACTCCACCCCACCCCCCCCGCTCCCCCCCCCGTCCCCCCCTCCCCCTCCCCCCTCCCCAGTAATTATGCCCCCCAACCCATGAACGGGGGAGTGAATCTCTGCGCATGGAAACTTCCATCGCCGTGGCGCTGAGGGAAGTCCTTCTTCAACTCCGCGCCCATCTGGGGCAGCGCCGCCCTGGGCGCAGGGCCCGTCATGTGCTGCCCGTCACCTCATTTTGCGCCGATGCGGCGATTCGGAGAACCGAAAAAAGCGGAAGAACTCCCCCCCCCCCCCGGCTCAACCGGAAAATAGGGGGAAGGGGCAGCCTTCCTCAACAGGAAAATAGGGGACTGGATTCAGGGGGTTTTGCTGAAGATTTGCAGTCTTTTTAGTTGGTTCCCAACTGGAAAGACAAACAAATGAGCGCATGAAAGGGGGAGTCCAAGGATTTTGAGACGTGGCGGTGAAACCCAACATGGTTCACTTGAAGTTCTTGGGTAAACTCACGTCACCGCCATCTCTCATGCCTACGCGAACAGGCAAAGTGGGTAACAAATCAAGTTGCCCATAAAATGCCAAATGTGGCAACGAAGAGGAACGCACTCAGTTTTGAATCACTGGCCGGCTTGAACGTATTCAGGCAGCTCGTGGGTTTTGCTCTTATCTCTGAACAGTTGTCTTCCCTGAAAAACCTCGCGCCATCGGGATTTAGTGTCTTGGGCTCCGGGTCTCTTTATACTTGGGTAACTTTTCGGAGCGATTCCACATCTTGGGAGCGGGCTCAGTAGGACCAGCAAATGGTGCGCATCCTCCTGCCACTGCCGGGGGGCTTCTGTTTTGAAAGTCTTCTGCATGGAGCAACAAGGTCCACCTGCCATACTGAAACCATCCATCAACAGAACCAAAAATAGCTCCTTGCATTTGCCTACAAAGTACCTGCAGCGAGAAGTATGATCACGTGCAACACTGAAGGGATTCAGATGGACTGGCCGTTCCTGGGACTCAAAGACAAAGCTTCCAACGCTCTGCCTGTGTATATGTTTGCTGCCGGTATTGTGCATGTGGCATCGCTTGCGCAAAGCATGCCGCGAGACATGCCCGCCTACCTTCCAATGATCATCACCCAATTAACTGGTTCAAAAGCTAAATACAAAGAGTCAGCGTCTCAAGATGTCATGTCCAACCAGTTACCGAATAATTGTCGTGCCTGCAAAGTGTGAATCATTCAGCCAGACCGCACAACTCAAGCAGCTCAGGCAACTCACACAGCCCATGCGGCTTGCGTCTGGAGTGCGCTGCATCAGCACGTCTTTGCCACGTTTGTTCATCTCAAATCGCGAGGAACTAAAATACCCGTGGTGGATCGACAGACTGTGTTTGCGTATTGACCACAACCACCCATGTGGGGCCAAGATGTGCTTGAGACATCTTGAGACTCAGGGGCATGTGGAAAAACAACGCAGGGACGCCGCATCTGCAAGAGGATCAAAATAAGGATTCATCCATCATCCAGCGATCTCACATTGGCTGTGTCAATGTTTTACGGGCATTGTCATGTCCAGTCCACATTTTGGTGGCGACAAATTATGTTGATCGGCTCCTTTTCGGCTCATCATATTCATGCTCATCCTCTCAAAGCAATTTGAGTCACAATCACAACCTGGTATTAAAATGGTCTGCCCAGAACCATGTAAAGAATTAAGAAGGCGGCCGCAACTATTTCTGGCTGGGACTTCCCCTTACTAACCTTCATCTACCCGGGTTTTGATTGTGGCTCATTTGGCAACAGCACTAGTACGCAAAAACATATGGCACAAGACGTTGAACAAATAAGCATCCGAATGGTAACAACTGCATTCACCTGGCGTGAGCAACTGAAAACAAGGAAGGCTCAATAACCCGCTGGTCCCTCTCAAGCTCATGCTTCACCGCATCACGCCCTGGCTGAAAGTCAACACAATCCTTTCAATGACTCATTTTGGACAATCAAAAGCCTCCCGGCTTCAACTTGGCTCAAAAGTGGTGGGCTTGAATTGAACCCTGCCGGATGTTGCACGGCCTGCAAATACTACCAGCCGACATCCAAACGATTAAGCGATCACCACCTCAGAGACATCAGGCGGTACAAGTAACTTGCAAGTTCAGTGTTGAGGATGCCAAAAGAAGAAGAAGTTGAAGCTGCTTAAGGAAAGATGAAATGAAACCATGGGCGTGAATCTCAAGCAGTCCTCCGCAGCAAACTTCCGGATAACCGCCAGGGAAGACTGGATGCCTGCTGTGATGTTGGTGCCTGCATCGACGCAACTGACACCTACCATACAACTGGAGTTCCTTATTTAAAGAAAGCAAGTCTCGACCCGGCAAGGGAGAACGCCTGGGGCGCTGAAGTAAGGCATCCCCAAGAAGGAACTTTATATTCTGGTAAGCTGAGCTCGCCATAAAATGGGCAGAGGGATTGCGTCAAGTGGTTCTAAATGTAGTGATCTCAAAGCTGTGCTACCGGCCTTGTGCAAACTTGCGTGTACCTTGTGCTGCCTCGCATCACTCTTCTTGAAGTCTTGGCCACGTCTTGGTGCACAGCTTTCACGCATGCTTCTGCAACATGCTCGATCTACATATATATATATATACATATTATATTGATTGACTTGGTATCTGCAATACTGTTTCTGTATTCCTGCGTATTTATGCACATAGACATACTATTCATATACTGGTGTGCACCAACATAAACACGTATATCGATATATATATATATATACAATATTCATGTGTATATATATATATATATCATAGATTCTAATAGCAAGTGCACACTTGAACTTGCGCGAAGCTTCACACGAATCTTTGCTCAAGACTTGTCTCGGCTCTAATTCCCAAGCAATGCTTCCCGGAATTCACTGAAGCGGACAGTACTACACTTCGTACACTGGATGGTACCCTATCGGGTTTGCAATTCTTTGCCTGCTCTTACTCCCACAGTTTACAAATAATAGGTAGTGCTCAATCCATTTTGCTGGGCTTCTACTTTGATTGCATCAACAGAAGTGCTTAAGCTACTCGTCGATGCCAAACATCATTGCAAGCTTTACACCAGTAAACTGAAAAGCAACCTGCAACAAGGACACTGTCTTGCCAAATATGGGTTGCACTTTGGAGAGCTCAAAAGAAGTTGAGCATGCTTACTGTTTGTTCTTACTGCAAACTGGCGTGTCCATTCCGTGTTCTACTTGACAGGGTATCAGTCAGAGTAAGTCAGGCATCAGTTGGGGTATTGGCCCGCAACGCAGAGTGTATGTGTGTGTGTGTGTGGGTTTGTAAATGTGTCCATTGCTCTGAAACCGTCAAGCAGTCATAGCCCTCACAATGTATGAGCTAGGATGGGACTATCTTGTTTGCGGAAACAAGCGGCAGGCGTCAAACATTAAAACAAGCACACTTTGGGGACTCCATTCTTTGCCCAACAGGTGCTTTGGAATTTAAAAGGACGGAGCACATGTTGCTTTCAAGATCATTGTAGGACAACCTGGGTTTGATGACTGCTTCCATTTTCAGGTGACGATCTGCCTACAAATCTGATCGTAATTCGGCGAATACTGTAAATCTAGGCTTTAGAGCATGCGATGAGAAAACGGAATACTGACCTACTACTGCCACTGTCCGATGCGGTCAGCAGCTTGTCCGGTCCAGGCAGCAACTAACAATGTCTGTAGCGCTTGCAACTCTCTCCGCGGCTGACTGACACGGCTTCAGGAGCTCAAAGCCGCGGTGACCCTAAAGCGTGTAGCTGTTCACTTCCATCCAATCTTCTGACCCAGCCCCACCCCTCCAGTGCCAGTCTCTATCTTCGTCCTAAGCCCCAAACCGACCCCCAAATCGACAACCCGACCCCAAGCCGTCTGCTTTTGGTCGAGCGCCCGTTTGAGCGCTGCGCGCCGGCTGCGCGCCTCCCTGGCGCGGCAGCTTTACGTCGCGGAGCTGCTGCGGCGTGGTGAAGGCGGTGCCCAAGAGCTGCGCGGAGCTGTCGAAGGACACCAAGGAGACGCCCAGCCTCGGAGAGAAAACGCCAGAAACGCCCACCCGGTTTGGGGGAGAATTGTGGGAAGAGCCGCGGAAAAATCGCCCCCACTTTTTGTCGGGGTGGATGTTGGTTGGACAGGGAAGATCACCCGGTTTGGGGGGTGATTAAAAAAAAAACGCTTCACCACCCCGGCTTTATGGGCGGGAATTTGGAGAGTAGGAAAGGGGAAAAAACAGGGCGCTGGGAAAATCGCAGGGTTTCAGGGAGTTGGATCTGTTGTTGGGGAAGCCAAGCCTTTCTGGGCTTGCTATGCGCAGGCCGCTCTTTTCATTTATGTCCTTGATCGAAAGGGGCTCCGGGCACCCCATGTTTCCTATACCTCAACGGGCTCCCCCTCGCTACTCGTAGCGACCAGCCCTATTTACCCACCTAGAAGGCCTCCGCAAAAAGACGTTTTTACATCCGCGAAGATCTGCTCAAGCCCCTCACCTAGCTATTCACCGCCCGCATCATCTCCAATACCGCTGCCTCATTTGCTCCTGAGTCCAACCGCGTCCGCACCTTGAACTACAGCTTCGCCTCGCCATTCCAACCCGCACCGCCTGGCTTGGCCTTGTCTCTTCCGCGACCTCCGGAATGGTCCTCCCTTCCAACCACGCCGTGCTTGCTGTAGCCTGGCCAGATGCTGCATCCATTTCCTCTCTCCGTGTCTGCGCCGTGAAAACTATGCCACTGCTCCCCGGTGCGGAATGCTGCTCATTCTCACCGGAGCACTCGCAGTCTTCCTCCCATTCATCCACGCCCGGGTTGTCCTTCTTCACCTTCCGTTCTAGACAACGGATCTTTTCCATGCTCAAGCCCCTCACACCTCGCCATTGGTCGTAGATGATCTTGGCCTCCTTGTTCTGCACCTTGGCCAACGGATTCTCTCCGATCCGGTCTGTTCCCCGGCCGTCCCCTTGGCTGTCTCCTTCACGACGACCAGCGCTCCGATCACCATGAGAATCATCCCCACCAAGAAGATGCCATCCACAACCTTCAGAACTCGGTCATCTATCACGAAATCAAATTCGTGCCACCAGCTTCCGGCCAGAATACTTGCCCGCCCCAGAAAACGAAGGCAGCCCGTTGGGCAGCGGTGATTCGAAACAGCTGCCGGGCCTTCACATGAAGGGGGTTTCCCAATGGGTGGTTCATCATCCCCGCTCAACTTTTGAATCTTTCTTGGCCTGGCGATCTTCTCTGTCTTTTTGGCCCAATGGCCCTCTTCAACCACACCTAACTTTACCAAGAATCTCAGTTCCCGGCATGTGCTCGCCCTCCTCCAAGGCCCAACGAAGAGCTGACGCCCGGATTCGAAGATGCCAAACTGATTGCTGCCATGTTGTCCCCGTACATACGCAGTATGCCATGAGCTCTTCTTCTACCGTGCTTTGTGCCACGGGTGTCGAATCATCTCCCAACACATCGGAGCTCCAACCTTCAAAGACGATGACCCCTTGCACGCTTTTGTCCTGACCACCCGAAGCATATAGGAGATGTCCGCAAAGACCTCCACCATGTTCTGCTACCTTCTCATTCCCAGTCCTGGCTTGGATGCCCATCCCTCGGGCATCCGTAGTTCAGGCCTCTGTCTGCTGTGGCCTTCACATACTTAAGCACGTCCTTGCCCATCTTTATAACATGCTTGCCTTTCTTAGTCCACCTTGACATAGCCGCCACCGCCGCCGTGATATCTGGTCTCGTCTTCGCCGCCGACCACCGCAGCGCTCCTGTGATAGCTTGCGCCTCCTTCACCTCCTCTGGAGTGCCATCTTCGCTTTCTTCATCCGGCATGCTTTCCTCAATTCGGCTGCAAGGTCCTCTGCGAAAGCCTTCTGATTGATGAGATAGCCATCGTCGAACCGTAGCGGTACCTCACTTGTAGCTTGTTCTGCAGGCGATAGCCTCCAATTCCATCCACCCTGGCTCTCGCTGAGTTAATCACCTCATCCTTGCCCGCCAAAAGCACACCATCCACATAGATCAACATGAGACCCACGGTGAGCCCTGTCTCCACCCCTACGATGTGCCAGACTTGGTTCAGCGTTCCATTCACACTCTACACTCAACCATACACAGCCTTGTCCACCACCCATACCTCATTTCTCTTCACAATGCCCAGCTCCTTAAGATAGACGGTACCTCATGATAACCGCATCGTCCCACTATGAATGTCTGTGCCCAGCAAGGACCACCCCTCTCAGGCTGTTCTGAGAACCATTCTGATTTGAAGTGCGTCCGCTCCTCCACCTCATCTGCACTCTTTCGGCCAAGAAGTTCCCGCAGACACTCCTCTGACCTTCCTCCTTCCATCTAGCGACTTCCTGGCGCATACAGCTTTGCCCTGCGTGCCATTCAAGGCGGCTTCTATATGTCCCCTTCGCTGGAGCCCTTCCCGAAGAACTCCCAACCAAGATTCCTGGTCCTCTTGACTAGCGTCCAGGGTCTCCAGCTCTTCTTTGACCGACTCTGTGGCATGTTGATGCCATCACTCAAAAATGATCAGATCCGTCACTTCCTAAGGATAATCGTCGACATGGCCACCTATCCGCCCTGGGCATCAGCAAATCCGGCTTTTCCTTCTCCTCCAGCACAACTTCTTTGCATCCACGATCAGGTTCTGGGAGCGCATCAGTCGTAGCAAAGCATCTCCCATCCTCGCAACTCCGAACCCAGTATCCTCCCGAAGTTGATGACATAGCTGCATCTGGCCCCATGATTTTCACCTTTTCTCTATCCAACCTCCAGTCTTGGCACCGCTCATTCCGCGATAGTCCCCCACGGAAAAAACTCCTTGACTGGTGATCCCACCGCTTTCAGCTGCCGTCGACGCCTTCGTTCCCCCGCATGTCTTAACGCCATAGGCCACAAGGTTCCCGGCTCCTTCGCTGCCCTTAACAAGTCCTCGTTGCCCTAGGAGAACGCAAATCTCTGCCTCCACGTGCCGATTCTCCTTAAAGGCGTCCCCTGGCACTGTAGTCTTCACGATGTTCCTGTCCTCCGCCATCGCTTCAGCTGCGCGGCAATCAGTTCTCGGACAGCCGATAGACCCATTTCCCAAACATTTGAGACCGTAGTCTTGATCGGCTCTGCAAACGGTTGGTCACCGCGACATCCATCATTTTCTGCCAGACGTCGACCGCTTTAATCTCGCGATCTGCTTCTTTGTCTGGTACTTGCTCTTCATCATCCCTCTCTTCCAAAACATCAACTTCCGCATCTTCACTCTGCTCCAGAATAGGCTTTTCATGATGGTGTGTGCGTGTTGCACCCGTCTATGAGGACGGCCTCTTTCCTGGCTCTCCACACAAGTGCGGCAATCCCGTCGCGCTGGTTGGTGGTCGCACTGAAATTTCAATGCCTCTTCCACATCTCCTTTGCCACCAAACTCAAAGGCCTGAGCGCACACCCCTCTCCACGTGGATCTTTCCAGCACGCCCTCAATGCATTTTTGATCTCAATCACCAATCCTGGTGCCCGAGCTGCCCACCTCTTTGTCTGCGCAATCCTCTCTGCCAGGTCCCCAACCCTTCCAAGTCCGTCAAGGGTCGTTGGGTGGTCCTTGGTCCAACTGAATCAGTTGCATGTGATACCTTCGAGCAAAAGCCTTCGGCCCCAAACCGCCAAAGACACGTCGACCCGGTAGTCACCTGGATCTGTAGGCTGTTCCTGCAAGAAGCCAACGGTGTCCTCTTGCTCCAGGTTGGGAAGGCCATATGGGTGCTGCTCGCTTCTGCCTTGTCTCGGCCCCGGCTGTCTCGCCCTGCGTGCTGACACCGTTCTGCAAGGCGGCCCTCCAAACACGCTCACCCACCTTTCCGCTTTTTGACAGGGAGAGCATGTACCCATAAACACCATCACTGTGCAGATCCTGCGCTGGCAGATCCTCCGCTGGGTCGTTGATCTTATCCACACAGATCACAACTTCCATACCTCTCCACTTCTTTCCATCGCCGGACAACAGATGGATATGGATTTTCTTCGCCCTCTATAGTCCGTGAGGGCTTTCAGCATCACCTCTTCATAGCCGTTGCCTCGTCTACCGTCGGACAGCCACCCACCACCGTGACCAACCAACATTCCTTGATAGGACACTGAGCACTTGCCGTTGACCCAGCTCGAGACAATGATACGCGCGCCCTTTTCTGCCAACAAGGCCAAAGTCCCCGGTTTGCTCCGCATCCACGTCCGCGACCCGTCTCCCACTCATGTGGCCACTTCCAGTTCTTTTCCAGCTCTGATCCACTTTCGGACATGAAGAACCTGCAATTCTTCTGACTGCCCTCCTTCTTCGTTGGGCTGGTCCTTCATGCGCTCCTCCTGTCATTCACCTTTGGCTGTGGCTGGCCCGCATCGCTTCCCATGAGCTTCGCCGTATCCAACTCGGCCAACAGCAATTCCAAATACTGCCAGATAGCCATCGTAGTTGGAGGCACGTCGCCCCAGCATCGATCTTGCCACCCTCGTTCTGAGTTGCACAAGCAACGTGGGCCAATCTCCTGCGCCCTCTAGTGTTGCAAGGCCGTGGCTGCTTCTGGCACTCCCGCAACGGGCCCAAATCCGTGAGCTTCTGGAGTAATTATCAATGACCTCTCCCCCGCTCCTCCTGGCTGAAGATCCCTGGATGCTCCAGTTCTCTTCTGATATCATCGGGTATTCCCCTCAAGAGTAGCGTCAGTCCTCTCTCTGTTCCGTCCGGATGAACCGCGGCGTCTTCAGCCAACCCGGAAGTTTTACAGTTACCGTGATTTTGCGCCGCCTCCTTTCATAGAGCTGCTTTGCCTGCTCCATGGCTCCAGCCCACCTTCCGATGCTCCTTGTGAGAGATCGCTCATCTGCGGGCCCAGCCAACCAGTCCCCCAACGTCACAACGCAGATCCCTTATCCCACAGCTTCCGATCATCCCATTGGCCCTGTTGGAACTCCATTTCCCATATCCCCAATGGTGGAAGTCCTTGTCTTTCCATCGAGGCTCCCAACCTTGTTCT